TACATTCTGTTCAAAACAACATTCAAGAGACTATTGTAGATAATGTTCGTGTATATATTGAAACTAAAATACCTAAAGATTTTGTTAATCAAACCATTTCACAAACTAATGAATCATTCTGTAATGACATTGGTACGTTGGAGGCGTCATCTATTGTAGATCCTTCAAGTCCAATGGTCATTGAAGATGAAACTCAACTAAATGATTCAATGGAAGTGCAATTTAGAGATGATAAGTCTATACAAAATAATCTTTTCAATGAGAAAAATGAGAAAGGTAAGTAATGGATTGCTTTAACTTCAATCAAATGAGAGTAATTATAATAATTAATCCAAATTTGTGTATAAAGAAAATATTCTACCACTCTCATATGCTGCCAAAGTATCCGTTTGTATGGCTATTCTCATGTATCTAAAGGAACATCTAAAAAAATCCTTTGCATTAAGTGAGGCGTGAGTACACAACCATAAATACGAATTTTCATTCTTTGAGTCATTATCTAAACGGGTTTTACGTGTTTGTAGAAAATGTCAAAATTTTAACCCAGCACAAAGTGGGACGCATAAGGATAAACCTGCCTTACGGCATCAAAATGCACCATTGGTTATATCATGGGACGGGCTTCCTTTCGTGGATAAACAGTTAGTTCTGGAAAACGATATCCGAGAACAATGTGAAATGGTAACATACGTAACTATTCTATTTATTTATTATTTATTTTATTGATATTAAAAATCATTTCTATTCTCTAGTTTAAAAAACTTATGGCTGAAGACGGTACTAGAGATCCCGACGATTTATGTTAGTTTTTTTTTTAATTTAAATAAAACATTAAATGTTGCATACATCCATTTATTTTAGCATTTTGTTTTGTATATTATATTTTTACTTTTTTACTATTGTTTTATATTGTGGTTGATGTATTAAGCTTGTAATCACATGCGTTTTGCGGAGATGTATCAAAAGTATTAGGCATTTTATCACATTTATTTTAATATATGGTATATACCATTTAATAAAAATAATCTTTTTTATAGCATATATACTGTTTATTTAAGGGTAGGGTGTCTGTAGATCTTTCATATGATCAATATGGTACAGAAAATTTCACATATATAGCAAAAATACACCCCCGGTGAAACTTTTTGGAATCGTGACCAGCCTTTACTTTTGTAGTTATGAAATTCTAGAACATGTTATATTTAAAAAAAGTCACCGTATATCATCGAATTTTCTTAGATAACACTAATTTTTTTAGGTTGCACAAAAAAGAGGTTTTACCCGCTTCTAGAATAAATCAGATTTTTATACATGTGATTCCCTTAAACCGCTGTTACTATCGTCAATATAGGCTAACTTTCTCGTGATTTGCCAATTTTATTCAATTGAATTTATACAGTTTAAAGTACTTTTACCCCCTAACATAATAAATTTTTTTTTTTAAAAATATAACTACCGTTTATAATACTACAGAAGACTCTTCACGAACGAA